TTTAATATATTATATTTTCACATATTCACACACACATATATATCACATTTCATACATTTTCACTTATTTTTGTTCAGAATGTGTAATTGTAGAAACTGTGTTCCAACAAAAACTTGAAAGCAGCCAGGTAAAAATAATGGGCTAAACTCTCTTAGTGAGCATCAGGTAATCTAGCTCTTTGATAAAATTACTTTGCTTTACATCAGCAGAACTTCTAAACCCATCCTGTTGTCAGAGAAACCTCTGTTTGTTAATACACCAGAAATCACAGTAGTACGCTGTTGTTAGACACACACACACACACACTCAATTTTCTACATGGCTGCACAAGTGCATTGCTGATTTGCTTATCTGTAGTCTGCTGCATTCGAGGCATTTTGTTTATTTAATTCAAAATCAATAAGTTTATTTCCCAGGCAATAATTCCATCATTCTCTTGGAATAGCTGCCTAATTTTAAAGTGAAGTTTGGACGTTCATTGCAAAAAAATGTAGTAACAACCCACAAATGAAGAAACAGCCTATTACACAAACAGTGTTGGAATAGCCTGTAGAAGGAAGTTAGCTGATGGCTATAGACTTGTCAGACCAACAATTCACTGCACATCTGTGTCTGCCAATACAGAATTTACTCAAAATTGCCTCTCTAGACATTTCTTTACATAACACATATTTAGCTTATTAGTGCTGTCATTTGGGAGTGTGGTCAGCTTTTGAGCAAAATCTCACTGAGTCCGTTAGCACGGATCACATCACAGCTGCCATTTTAGAATCACAATGATTAGGTTTGAAGTTCAAATGATTTGATTTCATTTTAAAGCTTCAAAAGCAGCCTCTGGGGCAGACTTACACAATTAATTTTTACTGAGGTCTGCTGGGTAATTTACTGTAGTCAGAGAATCTTCACTAAGGCAATCACTGGGTAATTTTATGGCACTTTGTTCAGTAGGAAGCAACATGTTGGCTGGCTTCTGCTCAGATAAGACCTGGAGGAAAGTGAAGATGCTGCTTCTGGGAAACAACACGTGTCTGAGACATTGAGGAGGGATGAACAGAATTCATTGACTTCCCACATGTGGGCCAGAAGTTGTACTTGCCCTCAAAATGTTTTTTCAGGAGTGTGCATGAGGACTTATAGTATACAATCTCCCAAATATTGTACTGAGAAACTTTCAAAATTGAGTACTGCACCTGTGATTCTTTAAGAGAGGAACAAAGAATGCATTCTTAGTTTAGCTCGAATGCAGAAGTAAACAATGAAATGAAATATCCCTTTGAGATTTGTATTTATCGCTTACAAGAAGCACTTCCTAATAATCAGTGGCAGCTAGTCTGACAAGCAAACTTCAGAGTAAAGCCACAGGGGATACAAGTCTATTTTAGGTTTACTGTTGACAGTAAGGGTCAGAGGAAAAATAAACTCAGCAAGCAGTGTCATGCTACCACAAGCCTCTGCTGGCCAAGCAGAAACTAAATTACGGCCAAACCTTTCAGCACGACTGAAAAACTTGGGCAATTGGGCTGCCCTGCAGTACACAGAGAATGAGATAGAGATGGACAGGATTAAGCAGAAGTGAGACATAACATAAATTAGTGATAAATAAAGCTCAAAAGATTGGAGGAGCTAATTATCCCACAGTCTGGAGTGGGGTACAGTATGCTTACCCTAACAGCATCCCTATTATTTTAATATTTGAAGTCTGCAAAATTAATCTGGAAAGCCCTGTGAAAACAAGGACTGATCATGGTCTCCTTCAAGACATCCTTCTTTTGGTCAAGCTATAAATAATATAGGTAATCTCTACTTCTGGACCTAACCATTAAAAAACCAGAAAGGAGCAGCAGGAGGACTCAGACATTATTTCTATTACATACACATATATAAATCAAAAGAAAATAAAAACTTTTTTATCTGAAAAGTTGTCCTGGTTTCAGCTGGGATAGAGTTGATTGTCTTCCTAGTAGCTGGTACAGTGCTATGTTTTGAGTTCAGTATGAGAAGAATGTTGATAACACTGATGTTTTCAGTTGTTGCTAAGTAGTGTTTAGACTAACTCAAGGATTTTTCAGCTTCTCATGCCCAGCCAGCGAGAAAGCTGGAGGGACACTAGAAGATGGGATGGGACACAGCCAGGGCACCTGACCCAAAGTGGCCAACGGGGTATTCCATACAATGTGACGTCACATCTAATATAGAAAATGGGGGGAATGGGGGCAGAGGGATCGCCACTCGGGGACTAACTGGGTGTCGATTGGCAGGTGGTGAGCAATTGCACTCTGCATCATTTGTACATTCCAATCCTTTTATTATTACTGTTGTCATTTTATTAGTTATCATTATTAGTTTATTTTTTTCTGTTCTATTAAACCGTTCTTATCTCAACTCACGGGTTTTGCTTCCTTTCCTAATTTTCTCCCCATCCCACTGGGTGGGGGAGAGTGAGTGAGCAGCTGCGTGGTGCTTAGTTGCTGGCTGGGGTTAAACCACGACAAAACTTTAGTCCTCAGCCTCATTTCATGTACTGTAATACTACTGGAGAAAGCTGATTTGATTGCTCTATCACACTAATAAAACCTAAGATTTGTGTAAGGGGAAGAAGAGGGAATAAGTATATTCCATATTGATATCACTGCTGATGGCATTACTGGCTTTCATTTTGTTAAGTTTACTTCCTATTAAAGCTGATGATAAAAGCAGCTGTGTGGACTCATAAGCACCTCTATCTACATCTCTCCACGGACTCATTACAAATATCTTTTTCATATAGTCTCATCGTCTAGGACAGATTTAATTTTATTCTGTCTTTCACTAGGCATAAATAAAAACCTGTCATTCCAACCGTTGCATTGCTTTTCTTTTTCTCTACCATCCACTGCATCCACTGGATGCAAACACAATCCTGTAATTCCTACTGTTCTGTTGTTTTCCTTTTCTTTGCTTTTTTTTTGTTTTGATGAAGCCACAAATATTTTTTCCATTGTCAGCAGCTAGTTGTTTGAAACAAAGAAGACTTTTTTACTTTCAAGCATAATTATACAGGACAGAAATGGCTAGACAATTTATTATTGCCCTTTTTTTCTAACCTGTGATGATACATGGATAATTTGTAAGGAGCATCCATGTACCACAGAAAAAAATTTTCTTATTTTAGGAAGGTGTTTAAAAACCAAATGTAATTCTAGTGGGTGATGCCCAATCATTGTGTACCCATTCTCTGCCGAACTGGTGCTCATCTGTGCTGTTCTGTTTGACCATTTTAAGATACTTGCTTATTATTCTCCCATAGCTCTCTGCTGATCTGAAATACCCCTGGGACGTTCAGAACACGTACCCTACGGAGCAATGCCACCAAGTAGTGGTTGTGATTTTGAGGCCTACAGGACATCAGATTAACAAATTTTCCTGACTTTTCTCATGAGGTCCCATAATTCATCTGTTTTGTCAGCACTATTTTTGAACTGCTGTCAGGTGGCATTGAGGATATATTGGGTCAGCTCACATTGGGTCCTCTGAGCACGCCTCTCATTAATACAAATAGGATGTCTCTTATATGTTTGAAGTCTTATGGATTGATGGAAAAATGTCAGCAGCTTCCAGTGACTGCAGTAATACTCACAACAATGTAAGTAATACCAGAAGAATAAAATCAAGGGGCCCAGTTCCAGGGCGATGTACTCCATTTAGAGTCTTTGGGATTGCTCTAGTAAATCATCCTTCTCCTCCTTTTCCTTCAAGGCTCTCTGCTGAACGACACCATCAGTTCCCTGAATCTCCTTCTCTTTTATAAAGTTTTCTTTAGAAACTTGCCCAGCGTAAGACTTCTGAGTATGTTGACCATGGAGATGCAGGTGGTAAGGAAAAGGACAATAATAGCCTGTTCTTAGTCTCCTTGTCACCAGTAAAAAAATACTGCTTTCTCCATGGTTTTAAATGGTATTTCCACCCTCTCTTCTAAACTTGAGTTTCTTTTGGCACATTTCTCACTTACCTTTCTATGTATAATGACTCTATGCTAGTGCTGGAAAGCACTAAATTGATTGGTGGAAAATTAATGGAGCAAGCAGGAATGATAGAGAATAATTACTTGTGCATTGTGGCTTTTGATAAGTTGGCAGTCTGAGGGGGCAGTAACACAAAGCTAGCTGGCAATCAGAAGTACAGGTGTTCTGCAGAAATCCAAATAGCTGTACCCCAAAGAATGGTGGGCATAACGAAAGTGAATATGAAAATGTCATCTGATGGCGAAAAGGTGTTCTCCTGAGTGTCTTACAGTTTATAAGTGAAAAAAAATGGCCTCAAAGGACAACATGACTTCAGAGTACGGCACACAGATACATAGGCAGGTTCATTCAACTTTGAAACAATGCATTGTGGAAAACATCAAGTTTCCAGAAATCCTGTTGGAAAAAATAAGCCAATATACAGAGATACAAAATAACTGAAGTTTGGATTATCTAGAGTAACATCCTGCAGAGACAAGGCCTAAAAATAAATTCTAAAGGGCTTTTCCTCCTGGATGTGTGTTACTAACCGCATTTCACTGAGTTTCATTAGCAGGACTCAAAGTTATCGAGGCAGTCTGCAGTTTGCTTCTTCATGCCCTTGTTTCAAGTTTCTAGATACTTTCAAGGAAAATTGTGAACTACTATGATCTTGATTTTTAAGAACTCTTTCACATTGCTACAATGATAAACAAAAAAGACAAATGCATTTCCTCCCTACCGTTTCTCAAAGCAAACCAGGAACTCAGTCCCATAGTGTTTTCACTGGTAAAGCTCTCACTAAACTTTTTAGAGTTACTCCTGCAAAAACAAAACAAAGCAAGGCAAAACAAAACAAAACAAAACACAACCAACCAACCAAATGCAAACCAGAGAAGCTGGTAAAAGAAGACATTATCTATCTGCACAATACCAGAGATTTTTATAATTTTCCCACAATAGAAACTCTGAAACAAAGCAAAACTATAAAAGCAAGCTTATATAACATGTATTACTTACAGTGTATTTCTAGAACCTGCATTGCTATCTGAGGTGTAGAGTTTAGGGACTCATGATCTACTCTGCAACTTACAACTGCACCATCATCACTGCGATCTGCTAGGAAATCCAGCGTGCTGCTGACTGTGAATGTTTTACGATTTGCATCTTCTTCTTTTAAGTATTTCACGTCTGAAAGAAGGAATAAACAGTTTTATCTCCAATATTTATAGGAAAAGTAGTCCAGCATTAGACAGCTAAATTATCTATCACACTTGTTGACAAAACATGTCTTTCATATCTGTATCGATCTCTTTAAAACAAAAGTAATTAAACTGTAGTTATTCCCCAGTTTGGTCTGATTGTCGGATCAGGAGATATATATTGAAAAAGAAATTTTTAAAATTGGTTACGTGATACTGCACTCAAACAGAAATTCCTTTAATCCTTATCTCTTATATGTTTAGGTCCAAATTTTATATGAACTTTCTCTGCAGTTCATTAGAAAAAATGTGGTCTCCTCCCACCCTCACTTCCCTTACGTATTCACAGTGTCACTAAATTTTAAATTTTCTAAGTCCAAGATTATAATCTTTTATAGTAATGCAATACATGGATATTACTGAAGCCATGTGAACTAAGGGTTGCATGCATGTAGTCACATTAATCCTATGCTTACTTTATTCATTGCTTATTTTGTTGTTTGGCTACAATTATACTAATTTATGAATTAAACTAAACCAAATTATAGCTATCAATGGTGATGAACAACTGTAGATAGAGCATGTCATAGTATTTACTGGAATCTACAGGTAAGTCCCAAGAAGACTGGAAATAAAATTACTTCAGAGACCTTCCACTCACTGCTTTATATCACACTAAATTGGCCTACTGCTTTTGTGCAGATTCAGTTAAAAATCTCTTTCACAGTTTTCAGCCCAGATACTAGAGTGCAGGAGCTTACAGCTGTGCTTAAGAAGTATTCAACACTGCTCAAGGTTAAGGTTCAAATTCAGAAAGTTTTGTTGTAGGACATACTTGTTAGATCAGAACTGAAGATCCAAAAGACTGAGCATTTATTTTTAAAAGTTTTAATATATTAGCTGCAACATGAGATCTTCTTACACATACTTTAGAATTGTTTTTCTTGGTTCCCAACCACTTATAATACTTATTGATTTTCATTTATTTCAGAAAAATAGGAAGCTCATTATATTGATTTGTTACAATGAAAGCTTTAAAAGACATATATAAGCATATATATTAAATTACACTGAGATTGCATGTCTTCTGTGTCCTACAAAAAGAAAAAGTGAGAGGTCTCAGTATTACAAATTATACTAAATCCCATTAGAGAAGAAGATGACCTAAATAAAATTTCCATGAAATATCAATTTTAGAAAGCAAGTCTTAAATGGCTTAAGCTACAGCTTTTTATATTAAAAACACCTGTGAAATCAGAAAGGTGGTCTTTTTTTATTGTCTCCAGATAGATGAAGACACCATGTAGTTATATGATTTCCATTTTTCCGTAAGAAATAATTATTTCTTGCATACAAGCATTTTATGCCTGTTGGTTGCTAAGCTTTAAGAGATTTCAATTTCTGCCATGGTGACTATTAGTATTTAGGGAACAGGAGGTGACACAAATATTGACCAGAACTAAAGCAAAGTTATTATAATCAAACAACAAATGTCTTCACTAATATTTAAAGCAAACACATGAGATTTTGTTCCCAGAATTAGGTTTCCAAATTTAATAATAAGCACCTCCATAGATAGCCTTCTGCTTTATAAGTAGCTTTATAACACATCCCTTTGCTTACTGACTTCAAGTGGAGGACAGACAGCTCCTGAAAACATCAACAAGTTTAATTTCAGTAAGAGGTTGTGGATGCTTAATCCTTTAGAAAAACAAAAGCAGTTAATTTCCTAAACGGATGTTTAGAAGCCTTTCGCTGGACATCTATTGTTTGGAAGAGTTCAACTCTTAGAGGTAATTACATCTGTAAAAAGGATGGTGATACTATTCTCTAAACTGTTGACATCCTCATCAACAGAAATACTTAGCTTGTCCACTTTTATCAGCTGTATCTTCTTAGATGTTTATTCATAGCAAAATGAAGGTGTGATTGCAATATATGCTAACTGAATGTAAGCCCACCGGGATGTAAGAGCAGTGGAGATCAGGTACTAGGTATGTTACCGTATGCTAGTATTCAGAATGTTTACCCAGGGTTTTTACAGAATTTTTAAACATGTCTACTGTAGTCCATTATTTTATTTATTTTCTTGCTACTCCTCTCTCTCCTAAATACCCCCTTATCTATTACAGAGGCACTTTCTCTGGAAATCACTATAATGAAACAGGTTGGGGGGTGACTAGATAGAAAGTAGCTTTATAGAAGAGGAACTGGGGGTCTTGAGGACAGGTTGAACGTTAGTCAAGTGTGCCTTTACAGGGTTGAAAGCTAAAAAATGACTGTCCTGTGTTAATAATAGCATATCCAGCAAGTCAAGGGAAGTGATTCTTCTCTATTCAGCACTTGCATGGCTGTATTTAGAGTACCAGGCCCAGTTTGGGGCTTTCTGGTACAAGAAAGATGTCGACAAACCCGAGCAGGTTCAGCCGGAAGCCATAGAGGTGGTCAGTGGAGGGAGCATACTTTGTACAAGGTCAGCTTAAGATAGTTGGGTTTGTTCAACCTCAGGAAGAGAAGACTACAATCAGATCAAACTGCTGCCTTCAAGTACCTAATGCATGGTCATAGAGAAGAAAAAGCCAGAGTCCTCTCAGAGTTGTACAGCAAAAGTTGAAGGGCAATGAACACAAGTTACACCAAGGCAACTTCTGATTATGTGTCACGAAATACATACTGTCCTGGTTTCAGCTGGGATAGAGTTAACTGTCTTCCTAGTAGCTGGTACAGTGCTATGTTTGGAGTTCAGTATGTGAAGAATGTTGATAACACTGATGTTTTCAGTGGTTGCTCAGTAGTGTTTAGACTATAGTCAAGGATTTTTCAGCTCCTCATGCCCAGCCAGGGCACCTGACCCAAACTGGACAACAGGGTATTCCATACCATGTGACATCACATCTAGTTTAGGAACTGGGAAGGGGGGGCAGGGAATCGCCACTCGGGGACTGGCTGGGTGTCGGTCGGCGGGTGGTGAGCAATTGCCCTGCGCATCATTTGTACATTCCAATCCTTTTATTACTACTGTTGGCATTTTATTGGTGTTATCATTATCATTATTAGTTTCTTCTTTTCTGTTCTATTAAACTGTTCTTATCTCAACCCACGAGTTTTACTTCTTTTCCCGATTTTCTCCCCCATCCCACTGGATGGGGGGGAGTGAGTGAGCGGCTGCGTGGTGCTTAGTTGCTGGCTGGGGTTAAACCATGACACTACATATAAGGAAAATTCTCAATAATAAGGGCTTTCAAATACTGAAACATCTAGCCCAGACAGACTATGGAATCTCTGTCCTTGGAGATTTTTCAAAATTGAATTGGAGAAGACCTTTAGCAACCTGATCTAACCTTTGAACAGAGGCTGGGCCATGTGAAATCTAAGGGTCAAATATGGGCCCACCTCTATGACTCTGCCAGTTAGGTGCACATACAGGTATGCTTGTATTAACTAATACTACTTTATATCTCATAAGTGTAGATGTTTGATAGTGAAAATAATAAATAGAAATGATAGAATATCTATCATTCATTGTTCATTGCTGTTTAGTCTGGAGAAAAGGAGGCTGAGGGGAGACCTTAACACTTTCTACAAGTACTGAAAGGAGGTTGTAGTGAGGTGGGCGCTGGTCTCTTTTATCAAGTAACTAGTGATAGGACGAGAGGAAATGGCCTAAGTTGTGGCAGGGGTGGTTTAGATTGGATATTAGGAAAAATTTCTTTACTGAAAGGGTTGTCAGGCATTGGAACAGGCTGCCCAGGGAAGTGGTTGAATCCCTGGAGGTATTCAAAAAACGCATAGACAAGGCACTTCAGGATATGGTTTAGTGGGCATAGCTGATGGTTAGACTCGATGATCTTGAAGGTTTTTTCCAACCTAAATGATTCTATGATTCTATGATTTATCAAAGCACATACTTGTAACATCTATGTAGAAGCATCCATCTTTTTAAAAGACAGTTCTGTTTTTACAAGTCAAATAAAATTTTTGTTTACATTTAAAATCGAGTTCTGAAATGAAATGGCCTTGTTGTCTAAAAAACTGTCATCTTCATTATAGAGGCTAACCAAGACAAAATGTTCAGTGCCTCTCTGAAATCTTTGTGCGTACTAAAAATATATAAACGAATTCAAAATGTCTTAATCTGTTGCAACAAAACAAACTGGTATTATTTTATTTATTTTTGAAGCCAAATTTTTCTAGGCAAAAAAAAAAAAAAAATCCATTTAAAAAAATATTCCTGAAACTAAAAATAATTTTTTACATCATATTGTTGAAAGAGTATGTAACAAATTTTGTTGAAAAAATAAGTGATTTTTTTTTTAAATTATGTATTTAGCTTCTCTGATATTTTTGCTTTTAATAATTTTCCAGAAACATCATCAAAATGCTAAACTGCAGCTGGCTTTGTTAATTTGGTGCATATATAAGAGACAGAACACTAAAGTGAAAGGTATGGTACTCAGTGCTTCACATTCAGTGTCTCTCATGACTAACACTTACTCTATCAAACAGTATTCCTTCACCAGATGATGATTCCTTTTTTGAGTAATAGCAATGGAGCTACAATTTTAGAATGGCTTTTTCCCCTTTGGTGCAACTCTGAACTCAATGCATCATTTATATTCTTTTGCACCATGTCTAACACACTGTAACACAATTGGATTTACTGGTGCTAGACAGATGAACTCCTAACCTTTAATGTCAGCTGCATTAGCATATAATTTCATATCTATTTTCTCAGATTTATCATTTCACCTTTTACAGTGCACAAAGCTAATGTAACTTCTGCTGATGCCATTTTATTTCTAACCTTTGAGAAATGGCAATGTGCTCTTCAGAAGACCCAGAAAACTAAACTGAAATGAATGTGCTCAGCACTTTCCTCTCTTTTTTTTTTCTTTACTGTTCTTTCTCACACATCTTCTTTGGTCCTTCCCCACCTTCTTTTTAAAAAAAAAATCCCTTTTAGGAACTGTGGAGAAGAGCAAATTAGTTAAAGAGTCAAATCATCAGATTGCTTGCTTGGCTTCAATTACATATCAGCTGAAAGAAAGGCAAAGTTATTACATCAGATTTTAAAATATAATTTTTAAAATAACACCTTTTCAGATTAGTTGCCTTGCTGTTACACCAACTGTATCAGCGGTTCTCTTCAAGTATTGACATTGCTTAGACTGATTTTCAATCTTTACATGTCTTGAATATCTATGTTCATTCTGTCATCTTTTCTGGATGACAGAATCTATGCTGTGCCATGTGTGTTAGCTCTGCTGTTAAATTCTTCTTTTTAATTATGTTTGATGAGGTGCTGCTTCACTTTCAGCAATTTCCTCAAATTTCCCAGTGGCTGGAAAGAACGATTCTGTTTCCTCGTTTTCTATCCCTGTTACAAGTGCTCAAACACATATCAAATGATTCCAGCCTAAAAATCCCATCTCCTTCAACACTATTCTGATTTTCTTCAGAAATCTAAAGATGCTTCTAGAATGGACTGGGTTCCTTGGACAATCAACTGCAATCTCCTTTATTTACCAATTTTATATCACAGCTCTGGTTGTGTACATTGAACGGTGGTAGAGAATAGTAAAGGAAGATTAATGGATTCTGTAATTAATGCTGTAACTTTGCTTGAGGCAGTTCACTGAGCTAACAAAATCCACAATGTCAGACAAATATGAGACAAAGCAGCAAAAGTTGTTTTTTTTTTTTTAAAAAGCTACACGGAAAAGGTGGATTTTGAATCATTTCTTGATCTGGTCTTACAGCAGAATGAATACAGGTGACATGAATAAATACAAATACCTTATCCTTTTTATTCATCTACTCTATAATGGGCACCTCAGTTGGCTGTGGTAGATGTGACTACGTCTTCTCTTATAGGAAGCTCTGTCCACCCATTCACCAAAAAGGATTTTAAACTACCCCAACACTTATGAGAATATGGCCTAGAAAACTGAGTTTTAAGAACATACGAAGTGAAAGAGAAGGCAGGAAAGAAATAAATAGCTTTTATATGCAGGTCTTTCCTATCTCACTGTACCCTCAAAGGCAAATCCTTGCTTTCAGCTTCGGTTTCAGTCACCCAATGACTTTTCAGTTACAGCAGACTTTGTCCAACTCCCCCCAGTTCCTCTTGAAGTTCTCCTCATCCCCTTTAAGGTCTGCCTTCTCCCTGCACCTCACCACACTCTCAGCATCCTTGCCCCAGCTGCAGGTTCCCAGTTTCCCAACTGAGATTCCCTGAATTGCTACACCTTGACTTTTCCTCACCAAAGCAGGCTCTGTAGCTCCCCAATGGGAAGTGCAATCTCCTGTCTCCTCCAGACGGTTCTGCCTCACCCGGTCACTTTACTTAGAGGAGTGTAACATGAAACTGGCCATTGACCAAATCAGATATATGTCATCTTAGAAAGGCAAAAAGAAATGAAAAGGTAAAATATCTGGGGTGAGTGGTATGGCTGTGATAACAACAATCCATAAAATGTTTCTCTATGAAGTATCACAGTTGAGTTTATTATGCTGAACAGAGTTCAGAACAATTCAAAACATCACTTTTTACGATTTGAAGAAAAAATAAAAAGATGGCTATATGACCACTCCAGTAATTTACAATCAATTCCTTATATACGTACTATCACTGATTCATTTAACAATTAAATATGAGAAACTTTTCAAACATTAATTAAAAAATATAATTCTAAATAATGTACAGTTTTGACAATTGGACCAAATTACATCAAAGTCCTTTTAAATACCTTTAACTTCTTTGTCGTTCTTGAACCATCTGATATCGGCTGCTGGTTTACTACCAGATGTCTTGCAAGTTAGCTGCATCCTCTCTCCCTCCATAACTGGTGAGGTAAATCCAGTAATTTGTGGCTTCTCAGGAACACCTAACAGGCAAACAAGCAAAATATCTCTGATACTGTCAGCTGCTGCTGCCATTAATATATGACCAGCTTAAAGTTCACTTCTTCATCTGCTCTAAATTCTGGAAACAGAATAATTAGTTCCTTGCCTTGTCAGTGAATCTTGTTTCCTATTGCAAATAAACTGTCAATCTGAACAGTAGTTGATTATAAAGAATTAAAGAAAACAGAAATTATCTAGTTTTCTAAGGGAAACAGATGTATTTTAAAAACTATCCTATCTATGTATATTCTTCATGCAGGTCTAGTCTGACTTGGTATTATAAGGTTTAAACTGGTCTGCACAGCAAGCAGGATGACAAAGTATATAAGCACAGCTGTGAAAATAAAATGTAACTGGCAACAAAAACCCGAACTGATCTAAGTTCAGAACAGATGCTTTAAGCATGAATTATGAAGATTTTAATACAAAATCCAGGGAAAAGGGAGGATGAAAATACATACAGGAGTTACTTTATCTTCAGAGAACACATAACCAAAAAAACAAGAGGTACAATCACAATTCCATTGGCTATGGAGAATTCTTCAGCTGAATCCAAGTTCTTTGGAGGAGATCATGACATACTATACACCTAATATTAAATTTGCAAATAGCTGTTTTTCAATGAACCATGGAAGATTTAAAAAAAAAATTATGAAGATAATTGGGAAAAATTTGATCACTATGTGTATAAATCCATTTGACTTCTGAAAACCCAAGAATCACTTATTTTAAAGTGATAATGATGACCGTAATTTAAAAATCTCTCAAAATGTCATTGTTATAATCTGCACCTGCAGCGCTTTGACACATTTGTATTTCTGGTTAGATAAAGGGATCAGTCACAGTAATTGATCCTGTGCCCTGTATTTCACAATTTGGTTTGTTTACATCTCTTTTCCAAAATGACAGATTATGTACATAAAAAGCAAGCAGCAGTACCTATTGTATAGTACATTTCTGTAATAAATCTACTTCTTTCTTTCAGGACAGAAAATGGTATCTACTATAATACCTTGACACTTAAATCTTCTAATCTGTAACAGAGCAGTCAATAAAGAGATTATTAGTCATAAAAGGATAGTGTATCTGATTAAAAGATGTAATACTTTCAATGGAAAATATCCCCTTCTCATATAGAAAGTGTTCCAAGAGTTTAAAATGTTACTTTGAAATGGAAAATTACAAATAAAAAATGAAAAAAGACAGGCATCTTAAACCTTGCAGCTTTCTTTCTTGGAAGGTAAGTAGCTGATGTTGGGAAAATTTCATGAAGCCCTCCCCCAAAATGAAGGTAAAACTAAAAGGACTGTGAAAGGTCAAGTTACTTTGGTTAATAAATGTTGGCTAAATGTTTTTTTGCCTTTGTAACACCTTTCCGTGCCTTTCTGCCATCTAAAAGGTTGAACTGGTCCACTCATCTATTGTTTAGATCATGAGATGCCTCTCTACAGCAAAGAAGATTAACCATAGGCAGTTGTTATTCCAGAATATTCTGTTTTGAGTGGGTATTTTTTGTTTTTAATGGCAAACTTGTGAAGATTTTTGTAAAATAGTCCCACAGGGACTAAAAGGGAGACGTATTTCACATCCTATGCACAAAACCAATTCCCCGACCGGATTAATGTGAATATTACTGGCAGAGAGAACTTCTTACATTAGTGCTACTACATTCAACTGTCTGCCTGTCTACATAGAAAAATAAAACAAAAAGAAAAAAAGAGTCAAGTTCAGGGACAGAAAAAGGAGAAAAGAATAAAAATCAATCTCTAAAATCATATAACCTCTTAGGTACACAGGTGTGTTTCAATGAACTATAGCAATTTCAGCTGATTGGGCTACTGACATTCATAGAATCATATAAAGCTTCGAGCGGAAACTTTATTTCCTGGGCATCTCTCGAAATCTATTGCTTTTCTATGTGTATCTATAACCTTTGGGGAAAACAGCAGAGCATTTAGAGGATAAAGCATAAAAGAAGCAGCAAACCCAGTGAAAATATGCACTTCGTAGACAAAAAAAGAAAGCAGAATGAGCCAAGAAAATGCACAGCTAAGGAAAAACGATAAAGCTCTAAAGCCCGTTTTGATTTCATGCTTTCTGATTTTCTCCCCTTTGCCCTACACAATACATTGTTAGGAGATGAACACATGCACTTTCTTCACACTTCTGGTGCTTGGGATGTAGAGGTTATGTCCATTTTATGGAGCACTCATACCGTGGTATTTGTGTGCTCTCTAATTCATTATCCTGCCATAGCGCAAATAGTAAGAGGTATGTTATTTTTCAGCACACAACATGAAACAATAAACTTCAGGGAAACAAGATCAGACAGTTACATTTATCTTCTGCCAACTTTAGAAAAGTTCATTCTTATCATAATTTGCCAAAGCCTGAGAAACTTAACACTTGCTTCTTTATGCTCAGCTATTTATACTTACCGAGAACGGTAAGAAAAGCCTTGGAAGTTTTGACAGGCATAGTAAATAGAGAGCAGGTGTACTGCCCTTCATCCGACAGAGACACATCACTGACACTGATACTCAGTTCATGCCATGAAGCTCGGACCAGCTCAATTCTATTGTCCCTCAGAGCTGAAAAAAACCAAAAATTCATGTTATAAGGTAGGAAACAGCACAGGAACAAAGACTGGTACGTTATACAAGAGGCTTAATGAAGTAGCCTAGTGAAATCATGCCCTAGAATACAGGCATATGGACACAGTTGTCTTTATGCATAGTAGTTTGTTTCCTCTGTGGAATAAAGTAAAGAGTTCAGCAAGTTTCTGAATAGTGTACTGAGTGACTTGTAAAGTATATAAACCTAGAAACTAAGGGACTTTATTTACCTTTGATCTTCCTCTGAAAACACCAACACTGACTTTGATTTCTGCCCCCCAACAGTTTTGTTCAGTGCCTAAAATAACTCCCTCCTAAACCCATTTCTTTTTTCATGTATTTACAAATGTGGCTGAATATTGAGAATCCTGTTTTCATCTACTAACAAACTATATTTTCAACTAAGAAGTCGAGCATTGCATAGCTTGCCTACAGATTTTTCCCACATCCATTAATACTCATATTGAACTGGAATATCAGATTTCTTGAATGCTGTAAGGGTATTTCTTATGATGAATATATTGAAAGTTCCACTTCTACATGCATATATAATACATTTAAAGGTTTGAGGTAATTGAATATAGTGGTTTACTTTTTTGATTATGACTAAAAATTCGATCTTCTATCAGAAAATCCTTCCTAACAAAATTTTGTTTGCATGAAACCACTAAGGGAAGAGTAGCAGGTAGATCTACTTAAATTCAAGATGTCATATTAGCTAATGCTTTAAAATTTTAAATATATTAAAGCCTATGTTTAGATTAACCCACATTTTCTATTGAAAAACAGTCAAAACATCCCCAAACATTCCATTTCTCTGCAGTAAAGCCATTTCAGGATTGACATATATTAATCAAGTCTTTCTGCAGCATAGAAATACCGGTATCATAAGTAACTAAACACCATAATTCTCCTAAGCAAACAATAAAAAAGCCTCTGTAACTCAGAAGGTATTGCTGTATGCATCTATATTCAAATCTTTGACCTGACAGTATTTGAATCTTCAGTGAGTCTATTTTTATACTAAGCTTCTGAAAGTCAAAAGTAAAATCAGACTATTATAATTACTGGGAGAGCTATGCTTTGATTTGATTTGTGAGAAGAACCAAGGTGTTCAAGTCCCTAATGCTGTTCTCACTCACCTCTTTCTAAAATCCCCAAAGGCTCTTAGATTTGTTTCTCCTAACATCTATATCTTCCAATGATATAAAAAAAGCTTTACTGTGGTTCTTTTGCTACTAAATCTAGATGTTTCTGCCCCATTGCAAGGCTCTCCAAGTGCTGTCAATACAGGAAGATTTACACCAAAATAAGCAGCAAAATGAAGATTCAGCAAAAATGTCACTTGAATTTGTTGTCTTCTAAGGCTACCATTCAGGTTTCTTTACAGTGATCTCAAGCTGAATTTACTGGTCATTTCAGGGTAGGCCAGCTAAAGCTTGACTTATTCTCAGCAGGGTCTGATGACTGAAAGGTGACAGCTTAAGCAGACCTAACATACAAGCATGCCATGAACTGCTCCAAGGCACATCAAAGTGACTAAGTTTGTGTGTAATGGACACATTCCAAACATAACTGAGACATCTTCCGGCCAGCCACAGCAAGAAAGAAATAATTATGTAGTATATAATATAAAATTCATATAATGATGGAAAATAGGTGCAACATTAAAGCAAAGAAGCAAACAAAACAAAAGCCACAAAATGAAAAGCTATGCATATATCGATATGCTGACATAACAGGCAACAAAAACAAGCTCAAGAAAACAAAAAGTACATAGAAGCAAGCTTCTACCAACCCAGAATAGCAGGCAAAGCTGATGACTGTGGCTTTACTAGCCAAAAGTCCTCACAACAGTGAAGCTTTTGCTATCCTTCAGGAAGTGGATGGGGACTCAGAATTCACTTCTCAGCATTTCAATTCTAGTCAGATGCAAACTGAGCAGTTGTAAGAATGGTACTTTATTTCACATTGCTGACCTTTCAAACAAAATTATTTTCAAAATGACCCAGTGCTTCCAAATGGTTTGATTACCACCACACCCATATATATAATTTGGAGAATAGCATAGGAACTACAAAAAAACCCTCAGCACCCCATAATTTGAAAGTGATGATTTTTGCCTCCCCTTAATCAGAAAATATTTAAAAAATGCAGTATATAATCTTACATCATATTTTATTTTGTTATAATTTTCCTTTGCTACTGCTTCATGATAAAGATTTTTGTAGCTGTTGAAATATTTTCCTATAGACGGAGCAATGTGCAGAATTTCATGCACTAAAAGAACTGTAATGAATCCCACCAGAGCACAAATGGACTACAGATGATGCCAATAGCACACCATTTCGATCCTACTGGTAGACAAAAAACCTATTGAAATATAAGCCACCTGCATCAACTACATTCCTACTGCTCCTCTCCCTCATTTCCTCCCCTCCACACCTTTTTTACCCTTTGTGCAACACAGAAATCTCAGCTCAGTCAATTTTCTGGAAAACTGATAAAAACAGATCAAGAGCTGATATCAGATGTTCCATGTTTCAGCCTGGAGTGAATTTTTACTGAAAGAACAGAAAGAAAGAGTTCTGTAATGGAAATACCAACACAGAGCCTTTGCAGAAAGTGCTTCAAATAGCACCAACATAACACTCCTTTGCAGGAAAGCTGTTTGTCAGAAGCATTTTTATAAGTGCTATGTCTAAATGCAATTAATTATGTGCGCCATCAATTTCAAACCTAAACATCTGCAAGCTTTCCTGTCTACACAGACTTGAGAGCAAACCAATGAAAAAACTCTACTGCTATTGCTTAGACAAGGCTAGCACTTACATGGAGTCTTTTTAGAATCTTATTTTCAAACTTTATTCCTACATCTATGTCTATATCTGATTCTGTTTGGAAAGACACCAATTCCTCTTAAGAAATTGATAGCTGTGATGGATGCCAGAACTGGTTTGTTTCCGTTTTCTGTGTTAGGTATATTTTGCTAAAAATGGTGAAGTTGGATCAGAGAAAAAGTGGCTGCCTAACTATCTAGTCCTGGCTCCCACACCCTGGGGCAGGGGGAACCCTCTGGGAGAGGGCGACTGCTCCCTTAGACGGCAAATGAACAGTTGGCAGCATTGGAGAAGCCAGGAGTACTTCTAGCCAGCTAGCAATCTCCAAGCATGGAGACTGAGTGGAGCAGCAGTCTTGCGCAGGGCACAGAGAGTAAACCCTTGCCAAGCCTGGTTGATGGAGCAAAGAAGCCCGTGGAGCCTGAACAGAAGCCAGCTACTGAAAGGTATCAACTGGCAAACAAATGCTTGAAGGAGAAGACAGTCCTCAAGGAGCTAGTGGATGGAAAGAAAATCTATTTATAATACTCTGTGTTTGATCTCTTTCAGCAGATCTGAGTTCTACTTGTTTAAAGAGTGATCTCATCTAGTTTATTATTCTCTATTTAAAGGACATGAGCTTCAAAAGCGTTCTGTAAGCTTTTTGATTGCTCTGTTTGAAGTGAGAATTGCCCCAAACAGGGCAATTTTACCACAACGTTCAAGCCAACTCGAGGCTCTAGCATAGGAGTTTAATAAAGTACAATAAATTAAAATACAAAATGTTCTCTCTTATTTAATTAACAGCTGAAAACAAAAAGTAGAACACATATGGGGACATTCTGCATGAATTTGGAGTTTGGTACACACTAATAAACAGATTTCCTTTACACTGAAATGTCCATGTATTGTTCAATACAAACAGCAGTAAATATTTCTAGCTCCCCACAAAAGTTAACAGGAAACACCAAGCTTTTTTTTTGAAGTGTCTCCTACTAAAATACAGCTGTGGTATTGTACTCAGGTGACAGTATTTATTCCTCCTCTTTTTAAGAAGGTTATACTAATAGTTCCATTTGCATTCCACAGATAGTTTCTGAATACTATTTATTACTTACATTGTGGTAGTGACTAGACAGCCCAGGTGAGCACAGAAAAAGTTTTGTCCTTAAAGACTCTACAAGCTCTGTCCTCACTTGACTTGTGTGGTTTCCTAGGCTCGCTCCTACCTCTGCCTGGTCTTTCAGAAACTTTTCTGGAAGCTCTTTCTTTTTTCCATTTCACTTCAGTAGAAGCCCAACAGAACTTTTCGGCCTTTTCCTGGGGATTTTCACTTACATTCCTGAATCTTTACCTTATCAATAGTTTGCACACCTACATTTCTGCATGATACAGAGAAGCTACAAAAAGGGTAAATAAGCAGAATATGTATTTGACCTCTGGGAAATACACCTATGCCAAAACATTAACAAAGAATACCACCACTGATGTCTCCTTCCTGGAGTCTTATGTTGCAAGCACTCCCAAAAAATATAAAATGCAACAAGAAATATAGTTGCATAGTAAATTCCAATATGCCCTAAGTACATCATTTCAGTTTTCTGTAATTCCCAGGCACATAAGGTGTAGTTAATTTGCAAGATGTGAAATAATTATGCATAAAATACTTGTTCCTAAGCAGACACACTTCATTTATTTTACTGGTCATTCTCTTTTTCTGTGGAAAAGATTTCCTTTCAGAATGTTTTCTGACACAGAAACAAGCAACCTTGATAATTTGCATAGTTTAGGTTATTATGAGTAAAAGATACGGTCATGTATTTCAGCTGTATTAATTAGCAATTGCTGAGACTGACAACCACTGCAATAAACCCGTCTCCTTGTTCACAATCACAAAAAGGTGTACTTTATTTTTTGCCAAAAATAATATAATGTTCCTATGTAGTCATGTAGTGAAATCTTGCAACAGCAATTATATCAAAGAGAGAAAAGAAACTTAAAAATTCACACCGTCATGGAAAAAAATAATGCACATTTCATACAGCGTGGAAAAGGCAGTTCAACCTGTTAGATGTAGTAGCCAAAGAGCAGCATCTCTAATCTTATTTCTCTAAAATGACTACATCTTACTAGTATTTTGAGTCATATATTTGAAGA